TTTGGTCAGTCGTGGGGCTTGAACTCTGGGCCTGAGCGGTGTCCCTCAGACCTTCAGCTCAAGGCAAGCGCTCTACCACTTAAGCCACAGCACTACTTCCATCTTTTTCTGTTTATGTGGTACTGAGGAATCGAACCCAGGGCCTCTTGCATGCAAGGCAAGCATTCTACCACTGAGCCACTTTCCCAGCCCCTCACTGACTCTTTTTATATGCCTAGCTTTGAACAGCAATCCTCAGATCTCAACCTCCTGTGTAGCTAGGATTACAGGCATGAGCACCCAGCATAAAAATGTAATTTTTTAAAAAAATGTAATTTTAAAAGTGTTTATTGAGGAATGGTAATGTGTCTTAGTGGGCAGTGCTTGCCTAGCATGCATGAAGCCCTGGGTTCCATTGCTTAGAACCATGTAAACAGAAAAGGCCGGAAGTGACGCTGTGCCTCAAGTGGTACAGTGCTAGCATTGAGCAAAAGAAGCTCTGGGACAGTGTCCAGGCCCTAAGTTCTACCCCAGGACTGGGGGGGAAAAAAAGAAGTGTTTATGGAGTTAAAATCTTTAAGTGAAGATAGAAAATAGGATAGTGAATGCTGGCATATCATTTACATAGAAGAGCTATAACTGCATGATTGGTATCAAATGGTCACAACAGTCCCACTTTCCTTATTTGAATTCATAGTTGTATGCTGCCAGTTGCTCTTTCTTATCTAAAATTAAAACTCTGTGAAGTCATTAGCTTCTCTAGATCTTTAGACTGGACAGTCATGCTAAGGGTGTAGCTCATTGATAGATTGCATGTTTAGTGTTTACAAGGTCCTGGGTTCAATCCCTAGTGCCACAAAGGATGGACAGGAGAGTGGGAGGAAGCAGGAGTCTTGACTTTACAAATTATAACACTGTGAAGAATTTAATCCTAGAAATTCTTTTTACATTTTTTTATGGCAGCTATTTAATGAACTCTGTGTGTTTGTGCACACACATGCTGGTACTGGAGCTTAAACTTGGGGTCTTGAACTTAAGACCACTACTCTTGCTTTTCCCACTCAGGGCTGGCACCTACCACTTGAGCCATACCTCCACTTCTGGGTTTTTGTTGGTCACTTGGAGATATGAGTCTCATGGATGTTTCTGCCTGGGCTGGCTTCAAACCTCAATCCTCATTAGATCTTAGACTCCTGAGTAACTGGGATTACAAATTAGCATACATTAGGGGTTTTTTATTGTTATTATAAAAATGATGTACAGAGGGGTTACAGTTACTCAGGTCAGATAAAGAGTACATGTTTTTGGATAATGTCACCAAGCCTTTCCTCCTCTCTCCCAGTTTTTCCCTCCAGTTCCCACCCACAAGTTATAAAGTTCATTTTCAACATAATATCTAGTGAGTACCACTGCTACATTTGCATACATTAGTTTTATAGAGAGACTTCCATTGTGACATTTCCATATTCCATGTAAACAATATATCCCAGTCAGCTTTTCTCCATTTTGTCATGTTCCCCATCCCCCTCCTTCTTAAAATAATTTAAACAAGTTTAACTGTTCTATTATAATTCATGGAGTTAATGACTACATTGACCACACTCATCCCTGTTTACCTGATCCTTAGCTCTTCTCACTCCCACTGGTGCCCACCTTCCCCATCTCAATCTGTTTTACTTTCTTGTTATTCTTTTTTTTTTTTTCTTTTGTCAGTTGTGGGCCTGAACTCTGGGCCTAGGTACTGTCGCTCAGCTCTTCAGCTCAAGGTAGCCCTCTACCACTTGAGCCACAGTGCCACTTCCGTCTTTTTTTGCTTATGTGGTCCTGAAGAATCGAACCCAGGACCTCATGCATGCAAGGCAAGCACTCTACCACTGAGCCACCTTCCCAGCCCTCTTGTCATTCATTGTTCTTAGTGTGTATTCATTTCACCAAGTGGTTTTGCTATTGTATTTCAGACACATATATTTGGTTCAGAATACCCTTCTCGTGTTTTCTTTCCCTTTTCTTGGGGAAGGAGGGCACCAACTTGAAAATATGTTGGAAGAAGCCCTCTTGGTTGTATATTCAGGTCTTTTGGATACAATATCTAAGATTTTCTTATTGGTTACTATGAATTATGAAAGATTTGCCCTGTGTGAAATTCAGCATGAGGCCAGCATGTGTTAGTCCAATTTTCCTGTCATTTAATACCTGGCCAGCACATTATCCCAAGATGGATGGTTGAATGTTGTCACCTCGTAGTGCTGGCGTGACCTACTATCTTGATAAAGACCACTGTGTTCTCTTTCCATTTGTTTTGAATTGTTGCAATAAACAAATGGTTACTGACCCAAATGGTTTCTGTTATCTTTTTAAAAATAAAAATTTCCTCCATGAATTATATATCTTTGGGGATATGGTTCGCCGTATCAGCCTTTGCCTGAGAGGAATAACACGAACTAGCTTAGGTTTCACAATCCTAGTGTTGTGGTGACCAAGTTAGCCACCTCCTTGTTGGCAGTTCTTGGCACCAGCTCAGTTCTAGGTTCTGAACTTGCACCATACTCTTATCATCCAAATTGCAGTGTTTTAGTTCAGCTGAAAAATCAAGGTTACAATTTGTGTTTATAGAAAGAAATTTCCCAGCAGTGTTTTTGTGATGGTCATGATGATGATGTAATTTGATATATTGAAAATCAACAACTGTGTTTCCCTCAGCTTTGTTTTTAGAATGAAACTGCTTTGGAGTTTTGGTGTACCTTTGTGCTATGATAGCATAGGTGCCAAGTGGCTGAATGTGTCAGCTGCCAGTGTTTCCCTGATGTTCGGAAGAAGAGAACATTAAGAAACTGTCAGACTGGGAGGGGGAAGTGTTGACTAGGACATCAGACTGAGGTTTCTTGTTTTTGTTTTTTTAAACACTATTTTTAAGGTCTTAAAGAAGTAGAGGGGCTATTTTAATATTCTAGGTATAGAAAAAGTGGCTTTTAGAACAGCAGTATTCCTTCTTAATGAAACACACCCTCCTTGTTAATACTACAAACAACTTAGACCTCAAATGTAAAAGCAGGAAAAAGAATGGACAGGTTTACTTGGTTTATTAGAAGATATAACACTGAAACCTTTTCCTCTTTTGTTTTGAAGATGGCTCTGAGAGATTCCTCTGTGAGTCTGTATTCAGTTATCAAGTGGCTTCCACGCTTAAACAGGTGAAACATGGTAAGCACAAAGTGTGGTCTACTGGATTGTGAAAGTAAATTTATGGGGGGCAAGGCAGATTCTAAAAGGTCCATGAACTGTGACCAAAAAAACCAAACTCAGCAAAGCTATTTAAGTAGACTTCCTAAATTACAGGACATTCTGAGGGCTTAATCCAGACAGAACATCCACACTGAGATTTGAAGTGGAAGTCAGAAGGAAGGGCTGGTTCTCTAAGGGAGCCAGTGTTTCCTGCCCTTCATGTGTTGATTTTTCCTTTCTAAAACCTCCTTTTACTATTGGGGTTACTCTATTCTTCTTCACCATTCACATATTCTGTCTGGACTCCTAAGCCCTGATGGAACGTTTTCCACTCCATCTGTCTCATCCCTTTCTGACCCATGGAAAGAACTACATAGGATATAAAACTCCCCTGTGTAGCATAAAAAGTATGGAGTTTTTCTTTTTTAAAAACTGTAGCACAGCCGGGCACTGGTGGCTCACGCCTGTAATCCTAGCTACTCAGGAGGCTGAGATCTGAGGATCGAGGTTCAAAGCCAGCCCGGGCAGGAGAGACCATGAGACTCCTATCTCCAATAAAC